CAGGTGCTGGAAAGGATGTGGAGAAATAGGAACACTTTAACACTGTTGGTGGGACTGTAAACTAGTTCAACCATTGTGGAAGGCAGTGTGGCGATTCCTCAAGAATCTAGAACTAGGAATACCATTTGACCCAGCCATCCCATTACTGGGTATATACCCAAAGTAATATAAATCATGCTGCTATAAAGACATATGCACATGTGTGTTTATTGTGGCACTATTCGCAATAGTAAAGACTTGAAACTAACCCAAATGGTCCCATCACTGATAGACTGGCGATTAAAAATGCAGCACATATAACACCTCGCGTGAATACTATAGTAGCATAAAAAAGGATGCCGTTCATGTTCCTTTTGTAAAGGACATGGATGAATCTGGAAACCATCATTCCTCAAGCAAACTATCGCACAGGACAGAAAACCAAAGACACACATGGTTCTCACTCATAGGTGAATGAACAGTGAGATCACTTTGGAACACAGCGGAAGGGAACATCACACAGCTGGGCCCCTGTCGTGGGGTGGGGGACAGGGGGAGGATAGCATAGGAGATATACCTATCATGTAAAGACGATTATTGTGCAGCACACCAACATGGCACATGTATACATATGTAACAAACCTGCACGTTGTGCACATGTACCCTAGAACTTAAAGTATAATAATAATAATAAAAAAAAGTAACACAGAGACAGGCTGGATGCGGTGGTTCACACCTGTAATTCCAGCACTTTGGGAGGCCAAGGCGCGCGGATCACGAGGTCAAGAGATCGAGACCATCCTGGCCAGCATGGTGAAACCCCATCTCTACTAAAAATACAAAAATTAACTGGGCATCATGGCAGGCGCCTGTAGTCCCAGCTACTCGGGAGACTGAGGCAGGAGAATCGCTTGAACCCAGGAAGTGGCGGTTGTAGTGAGCCGAGATTGCGCCACTGCACTCCAGCCTGGCAACAGAGCAAGACTCCCTCTCACAAAAAAAAAAAAAAATCACACGAAGACTTAGTACCAAATTCTAGGTTAGATTTCTCATTTTGCCAAATTTCAATCGAGCTTTTTGCACTGTCACGTGTGATCATGCCCTGCAGTGTTTGACCAAGGACACCTAAAAGCAGCCTCACAGACAGCCTGGCAGGTGAGGACATGAGGATGTGGAGGGAGAGGTTTTATACAGGAAATAAAATGAACAGCCTCTGGAAAAATTAATTTTAGAAATAGATGAATATGTAATGAACATATTTCATAAGTCTCCCTCTTGTATTCTAGACACCAGTGAGGCTCATGAGGAAGTAACAGGAATTCCTATTAGAGAACTTCCAAGGAAGTGTTATTTGGCCCTGAATCTAAAATGAAGTAAACCTTGTTGGTTCTTGACTGGTGGTGATCGAGAACTTTCTTTGCCAAACAAAATACAAACAGAAAGAGAACTGACATAACCTAAGAGATATACCCCTCCAAGCCTGGTCGAGTCTACTCATTGGAGTCACTCCCATTGGCCTCTACTCTCCATTCTTGTCCCTTTGTCTGGGACAAGCAATGATCTCTTCTGTTGTTCCCAGATGGCCTCTTTCTTCATTCTCATCTCCCTTCCATCCCATCTCACCAGTTGCCCCTGGTGGGATAGAAAACACCTATAGAAATGTCACCAGTCTTCTTAAAAAACAAAAGCTCCTATTCTACTTCAAGACAAGGACCTACTCCTTAGCGTGGCGTATGAGACCCTTAACAATTGCCCTCAGCCCAGCTTCATTTTCTACCTACCAGCCCATATTCTAGCCACACCCCACAGTCCTCGGCTCCCCACATGCGGTGGGCCCCTTGTACCCCTTTGCTTCTCAGCTGCTCAGCTCTGAGCCTGGGGATTATTCTGTCTAACAACCGAGGCTGCAGCTCAAAGGTGGCCTCCAACTGTGGCAGGTAACTGTGCCCCATGCTTTCCTCAGACCTCTGTTAAACACACATCTCACAGCATGATCGCCGTCTACACTCCCATTTTCCTGCTTTCTCAGCTAGACTAGAAGCTTCTCAAGGGCTAGGAATGACTCATTATGAGACTTTCTACCAGCACTGTACACAGCAGTGGCTCTCTGCCAAAAAATGGCAAAAACCCTAATCAATTATTCAAATGCACATGAACTGAAGACAAGAGGGACCCAGCCAGGGCCACCGCTTTCCAGCAGTGAAACTGGCCTGTGCAAGCTGAGGGCAGGATCCAAACAGCAGGCAGCTAATGGTGAAGTCCTCCAGGTTCCCCATAGGAGACTCACGTCATGGGGGGATCGGGACCTGCGTGGCAACCGCAGTCTTCCCCATGTGGCACATGCTCCTCCTCTGCCACCTTTCCAGGTCCCTAAGCACAGAGACAACCTCGCCTGGAGTCACAAACCCTGGAGGAGCAAAGGGGCAAGACAGGGTCCTTGTTTCCTTCCTTCTTTGCCTTAAAAGCAGCAGAGGAGGAGAGAGGAAACATTCACTTCTCTTCTGGACAAACCATTCCAGGAAACAGAAACGTTCCTCATATGTTTTTGTCTGAAAAAGTCAGTCAGTCTAAGAAGTGACTATAGTAAGAGATGGTTTTAAAAAACCACAAACCAGGCACACAAATTATTAGGTGTCACAAAGAAAAAAAACCATAGTGTGATGGCTAAGCTGCTAACTTTAAGAGTCAGCAGAGCAGGCTCCTAGAATGAGACCTTGCACTAGCTCACTCTGTGACCTTCTCTGGCCTCAACATTCCCATCTGTAAAATGGGAACACTGGACTAGACATTTTCTGAGGTTCTTCACAGCTCCACCGTGCCTTGAAATCATTAACGTTAAACCTGGGAAGTCTGGATCATACTTTGTCAAAGCACACGAGGTTTATTTGCCCACACATGTTGATTCTCTGTGGGGAGATACAGAAGATTTTCTTTTTCTTCAGTCTCTTCTGAGCATACACGTTGCCTATGGTCAGGGCAGCCGGCAGCACTGGAGGGACAGTCGTGGTGAGGAGGATCAGGGCCATGGTCGCAGTATCTTTTGGAGGGACCTGGGAGAGGAGAGACATTTTCATACAGGATAACACAGCACAGGAGACTGGCACCCTTCCTAGCACCTTGCTCCTACAACACCGTGGGAGCTCTAGAGACATGCTCTGAATATTAACAGTGAGTTGGCTCTCTTGGTGAGGCTGAGTATTCTCTTGGCTGTGCCAAAGGGACGAGCACATTGTCTCCTACTGCAGAGCAAAGGAGAACTTTGATCCCTACTCCTAGTCCACCATCCCCTGTCCTGGCTCTGTTTCCCTCTACTTAGCATTCCCTCTGCCCAAGCCTGACTGTTGGCTTATGAATCTCTCTGCCCCACTAGCCTACAAACTCCTTGGGTGGAGCAGCTATGGCTTATTCATCTTTGAATCTACCTTATTGATCTCTAGATACAGAGCCTAGCGCGAGATTTAGCACAGAGGAGGTGCTCAGTACATAGATTGAATGGATGGCAGTATAATTGAAAACTAGGACCAAGATCCTGCCAAGATCTCAGCATATATTATTAACTACAGAGAAGCCAATATAAAATTAGCTTGCTCTCACTGGATACTAATTCTGGAGCAGGAACTGTATTAGGCTACATATATTATTTAGTTGCTCTCTATAACAACCTTATGACGTAAATGCTATTATTTTCTCCATCTGTCAGGTAAGGAAACTGAGGTTTTAACAATTAAATAATTTTCCTAAGGTCACATACTAGGTAAATGACAAAAATCTGAATCCTATTCTGTCTGACTCCAGGGTACAAACCCATGACCAACGTGTTTTATTATCAAGTCAATTTTGTGAACTCAGGATCCCTGGCTGGTGATATGGTTTGGCTGTGTCCCGACCCAAACCTCATCTTGAATTGTAGCTCCCTTCATTCCCACCTGTCGTGAGAGGGACCCAGTGTGAGGTAACTGAATCATGGGGGTGGTTTCCCCCATAATGAGCTTGTGATTCTGAATAAGTCTCATGAAATCTGACGGTTTATAAATGGGAGTTCCCCTGCACAAGCTCTCTTGCCTGCCACCATGGACGACATGTTCTGCTTCTCCTTTGCCTTCCAACCATGACTGTGAGGCCTCCCCAGCCATGTGGAACTCTGAGTCCATTAAACCTCTTTATAAATTACCCATCTCAGGTGTGGCTTTATTAGCAGCGTGAAAATAGACTAATACAGCAGGTCTGCAGAGGCGGCTCACACAGTTAAGGTCGGGGATAAGGTCAAATCACAGGGTTGATTGACTGTTTCGTTTTCCTCACATGCTCTAGATATGAATGATTCTACCCTCTAGAACCTTACCTATGTTTTTGTTCAATTAACCATCATTTTAGCCATAAATACTTTTTTAATTATTGGAAACATGGGATTCAAGTTCAGTAGCAATGTCTGCTGGGGACATCTTTTGCCCAATATCAATTTATCACAACATTCATTACTCCCTCCTTTTCCCAACCACAGACACAGAAGAGTTTTGACCCAAGGACTCAGCCTTGTCTAACCCTGAACCAGTGCAGATAGAGGCAGCCAACAGAGCCACAGGCTCTGACCCATAAGAAGGTGGGGTCTGGGATTTTTAGTCTTGTTGCCTCAGTGTGTATTGGATGTTAAGCTCTTCCCAGGAACCCTCGTTCTGAAACACTGCCAGGGCTTCCATGAGGTTTTTTCCTGCTTTTCTGCCCAGTGCTCCAGCTCCCCAGATTAAATTGGCATACTCCCTCAAATTCCAGCCCCAGTGACCTTGACATTCTGCCTAGCTCTTCATAGGCCCCATTGTGGGCCTCTCTTGACCCAGAAATGCTCCCTGGGAGCGATTTCAGATTGAAATAACTACTCAGCAGTTAAGTTTTGGCATGAACATTGCCCTGAAATTCTTGTAACTATGTCTTTGCCCACCAATATTCACTTCCCACCTCTCTCTCTCTCTCACACACACACACACACACGCACGCATTGATGCCACCAATTTGGACATTGTAATTAAGCCACTCACACAGTTTTTCACCTGCTTGGATGTTTTATTCACAATGTTCTCTTCCCCCCCACCAGCTCACACTATTATGATCCCAGACTTTCTTACATAGAGACTGCGTGGTTCACAGCAACATCAGACTCTCAGGACCAGAAAGGACCTCAGAGGTCTTTAGTGACAACCGTTCCCTCCCTAGCCACCAAGCTATGATGAGGAGCATCCAAATGAAACCTGACACCCTGTAGCTTAAAGGGAGGTCGGTATCTCATGCGGTACCAGCTCCGTAAAAGTGGACATTTCATTTCATTTCAGACCCTAACCAGAACACATGAGAAACCCACTGATTGCGTAGTGTTTTAGGTATTACCTAAACACTGGGGCCAAACTAGGCAAAATCTGCTGTCTAAGAAGTTCTTTTGGACAGTAATGATTCATAGAATGATAGGATCAAGATGTAACCTAATCCAGCCCTCTGAGTTAGGTCGAGCTCTTTGCAGAAGCTATACTATTGAAAAGCCTCACCCCCAGTACTTACTCCATGGTACGTATATACCCCTAGGGCATAGAAAAAACCCATGACACCAAGGCAGGCCAGGAACACCATGAACTTGAAGGCATCGCTGTATAGTTTGAAGTTCAGAGGCCGGGGGTACAGGATGGATCTCACTAAGTCCCCTTTGGCTGTATTGTAACCTATGTAAAGATAGTCATAGATCAAGTAAGGCTGCTTGATGGACACTTGGTCTCCTAAAAATGGCTTTACTGTCTTTGAGGAAGAGTAGTTTCCTCTAACCTGTTACCTAATCATTTTATAAGTATTCAGGTGGTTTTCATGATTTGTAACCATGAGTTTCCATGTAGGCCACAGGCTGAGCGATGCCCTAGTATCTAGTGCCTGCTAACTAGTTTGAACATTTTAAAAAACTTGATATTTTTAATTTTAAAAAATCAGCTAGAACAACTACTCATAAACTAAACTAAAGCATACAGGTATCGCAGTGTAAAGTGTATTTTGTGTCTGTGAATAAGTCAGGTGGCAGAAACACAGGTCAGAGGTTAGAACAGAGAGCTGGGACCCGGTCATAGGAGGCCTTCATTGTGTCATGTCATGTAAAAGACTGGGACTCAGGAAGCGTTTGCAGAATCATCCAGATTTGGTGCCACATTTGGTACGGGAAATGAGAGGAGTTAGAGATGTTATTAAGAGACCAGCATGATGGTGATGATATTAACAGAGAAAGTCAATACAGGAGGATGAATACTTTCAGATTCATTTAATTGGTCTATAGGGCACCCAGGTGGAGTTCTTTACTAGTGAGTTTGACCTATGGCCTAGCAAGCAACTCTGTGAAAGGGAAAAAATCCTCAGTCATAGTGGCTGAAATTGTTTTTTGGTAATCACTCAGAGGAGATGTCAAGGGAGACAGAAGCAGCATGTGGTCGCAAGCAAAAAGAAGAGCATAGTTTTACCTTTGACAAATTTTACTTCACCTACACATACCCTTCATTACATAGAAGGGTTTTAACAATAAACCATTTAATTAAAAAGAGTGACACTTTACAATAATAAGGGTCAGTTTAGAAAAAAGCATGTTGTTACCTACCAGAATGTGGCAAACTCCATAATCCTAAACTAAATTTCCCTAATCCAACTCTCCCCATATTCAAGCATGAATTAAGCGTATGAAAGTGAAATCCACTAACCTGTTTGCAAAACGACTGCTCTTACAGGCCCCTGCCCAGAGGGCTTGACCTGGATAACTTCTGTTCCACAGAAGAGGACGTGTTTCCGATAATCCTTCAAACTGTGACATTTCCAAGGCATGGTGTTCTCCATCTGGGGCAACGGTGTCTTTGTAACAGGTATACTTTCTCCTACAGAGGATTGTATTTTGTTGAATCTATGAAAGCTTGGGTAGTTAGTTAGAACTGGTGCATGCCGGTTTCAAGAAATGATACAAACTACAACTAATCCGGTCTTAATGCCCATCCCATGAGTCAGATGACTGTTCATAGAGATGCTGGTGGTACAAACAATGGTAGACTTGATTCTATTGCAAATATTTAGATTAGATCTGCCTACTATCCTCTACCTGGCCTGCAAGGTTTGTTGTCACAATTTTAAAGGCAGCTTATTTTAGCTGAATTAATACTTAATCATTCTCCCAAGAATTCATTCAGCCCAGCGCTACTTTAGGCAATGAAGGAGCTTTCCAGCACGCGAACAGTAATTACTGTTTGCTTTCCATTCACTCATTTCTTCATTTCTTCATTTGTTCAGTCATTCATTCAACTATTTTTAGGTGCTTATTCCGTTTCAGGAACTGTGCTAGGTGCTAGGAATAATGAAGAACAACAAGAGAGACAGGAATCTTGCCCTCATAAGCTCATGGAGCAAGGTGAGAAAATAGTAGTTATTCCACATCATTTTCAGATAGAGCCCATCCAAGCCCCACTTTTATTATCCCATTCTTTTGCCCAAAATCCTTAGGCTTTTCCATTGCCATTACTGAAGAAAGCCCAAACTGTCCTGTTAAATTGTCAAAGCCTACCACGAATCAAACATCATTGCCTGTCATTCCCATGCACAAACTCCAGCTCAACTAGGCCACTTGCATTTCCTTTCATTGACCCCCATTCTTGGCAGGTAGCAATTTTTTTTTTTTCCTTTCCCTGGTGGCTATAAGACAGAATATTTAAGGTACAAAGAAATGAGCTCAGAGTTCAAAAAGGATACATTTCAGAGACAAAATAAAGATGTTCATAATACTTTTTGGCTCCCAGATTTAATATTAGAATGAATTTAAAATTCCATCAGTCTTTTACTAAATGTTCAATTAGCAAGATCACTTGTCATATTTCTAATTTGGAAATAGTATTATATCAATCATAGTTACACAAATTTAGGTCTTGTCTCTCTTTCTAGGTAATAACTGGGAATAAGAACTTTGACAGATATAAATTGGTATACTCTTCATTTTCCTAGTGATATGTAATAGGTTCAAAATACATAGTTTTTTCAAATGCACATTAATTAAATAAAAACACCCAAGTTTGTCTATGATTGGTTTTTCAAAATTCATTTTCTGCCATGATGTATTTTTTACACGCTAAGGTGCAAGAAGCTATAAAATTGTTACTAGCAATCTTGAATATTTTTCAAAAAATTATTTTAGCCAAGTATTGTTCCCTATACCATTTTCTTTAAAACAATTATGATATTCATCCATTGTGTAGATTTATCGATTGCATTCTAAATGGCTTCATAGAAGGGTTAGAATGTTTTGACAAATCTCCAAATTATGGTATTATATTATTTTGAAAGCAGCCTTTGTAATAGGCAAATACTTACAGATCATTTCCTTTTTTTGGCTTTTGAATCACAGAATATTAATTCACAATATATACTTAGGCTAACATCAGTAAACTGTTTTCTGCACACAAAACCAGTGAAACTGGAGGCAGTCACGTATTGATCAATCAGAAATGGAAGTCATTTGCAGATAATTTGCTCCAGAGACAACAGTCAGATGATTTTACAGAAAGATTTTTTTTTTTTTTTTTTTTTTTGGTTTTGTTTTTTTGAGACGGAGTCTGGCTCTGTCGCCCAGGTTGGAGTGCAGTGGCCGGATCTCAGCTCACTGCAAGCTCCGCCTCCTGGGTTTACGCCATTCTCCTGCCTCAGCCTCCCGAGTAGCTGGGACTACAGGCGCCCACCACCTCGCCCGGCTAGTTTTTTGTATTTTTTAGTAGAAACGAGGTTTCACTGGGTTAGCCAGGATGGTCTCGATCTCCTGACCTAGTGATCCGCCCGTCTCGGCCTCCCAAAGTGCTGGGATTACAGGCTTGAGCCACCGCGCCCGGCCCAGAAAGATGGTTTTCAAGTCTCTTTTATGCTATTTGCATGTTAATAAGAAGTCTCATGTTTTGGCCTTTCTGGGGAGCCCAAGAAAGGATGATTCATCTGCAAAAGATGTGGGGTGCAAGGCAGCCGAAGAGAGTTTTAGAGGGAAGAACTATCATCGCTCATCATCAGCTGTACAGTTGGCTCCCTGGTCTGTCAAGTGGAGGTTCTCTCCCTTGTCCACAAGGATCAAGATGCCTCCTCATGGTGACAGTGTTTCAAATTCCAAGTCCTTTTAATTTATAGCTCTAGAACCATTAGACTGTAAATGTTTTGAGACCAGAGACCATTTCTCATTTAACTTAGTGACACCAATACGCAACACAGTGCTTACCATAGTAGGCATTTCTGAGCTTTTATTGAATAAATGGATGAACAAATAAGTAAAAGAAAAGGGAGAAGGAGGATGATAAAAAGAGAAGAAGAAAGGATCAAAGGGAGAGAGAAAAAGATTGGACCTTAACTGATGATCAGCTTGTCTGACAGAATATCAACGTGAGATCATCACATAGGGAAATCCCTGCATGTCCAACTCAGGTCACTGCACGCTTCCCCCACATACATCTCAAATCAATCAGCAACTTAATGAAGAGAAGAAGAGGGAAGGGGATTGTGTCAGAGTGCATGCCACCCCTCTTCGCCATAATTATCCCTAAGAGAATGAGGAAACACTGATTACAAGCATAGGTTCTGGGGACAAAAGGCCTGTATTTAAGGCATTAAATTTATTTATTAAGACAATAGATATCTTCTATTTTCTTCATATAACTTATAACTGTTGAAAATTCCGTATCATTTGTATACTTTCATGTTTTCTGTCTCCGTCACTAGAATATCAGCTCCATGAGGGCAGAAATCTTATCTGCCTTGTTCACCTCTATGTCACCTGTAGAGTTCCTGCTCCATAGTAGGGGCTAATAAATATCTGTAGAATGAGCGAATTCACAAACAAATCCAAATCTTAGCTGTGCCACTTTTAAGCTGTGTGACCTTGGGTAAATTACTTACCCTCTCTGGGCCTCAGATTTGCCCATTCTAATAGAGTTGCCGATTGAATGAAATAGTATATGTAAAATGTTAGCACAATGCCTAATACACATGAGAGCTAAGAAAAAAAGCTATAGTGCTAAGAGATAATTTCTAAATATTAATAAACACCCCTCCCAATGAGATTCCCTGTTGTCTCCAGACTCTTCCCATTTGAGAGGAGCTCGATTTTGAAGGTGATCATTGTTTCAGGAAAGATGGCAGAAGAAAAGGACGGAGAAGTTGATCACTGGCTTTTGAGTTTTTTAAGTCCTTCATGAGTTTGATCATGGATTGTAGAGACTACCTGAGATTAAGAACAAAGTTTTTCTGCTCACCACACCTTTCCTCTACTGCATTTCTAGCTAAACCAAAGTCCTTGTACTGGGAGTTGGAAGAGAATCCAAAGGGACTCAGACGTTGTGTGTCCCTGAGAGAAGAGGTGTGCACCACAGTAGAACATGGGAACATGCAATAAGGTTATGGAAACAGCGTAAATGGCACCAGGATCTGCCTCCCTGTCCAGGTAAATAGGCCTCAGACAGCTCAGAGTGGAGTGGGAGCAGCAGGAAGAAGAGCTGCCCTCAATCGGACCCCTCTCCCTGATGTCTTGCACATCTTAGGACAGTCAGACAAGGGTGAGGAAGACCACCTAACTGATGGGGACAACTGTCTGACTCATATTAGATATTCACACTGGACACTTTTAAGGATGGCAAAATTTGGAGCCAACATAAAAATTAAGTGTAGTTATAAAATAAAGGTAAACTTCTTGCACAGCTGAATTTATGACAATAGCATAAGGCTAAGGAGACCAGGAGGAGAAGATCTTACCAAAAAGGGAGTACTATTGATGGGAATACCAAGTAGAGAGGAAAAGGTGATGAGGCAGGAAGGTGAAGCAGCTTCATCCAGCTTAGAATTATCCTTCTCATGCCTACGGTCCTTTACATTTGGGAGCAAATACCACCTCCAGTTCTGATCCTTCCACTTGCTAGCTGCATATCTCTGGTCTTTTTACCTCCCTCTCCTCATTTGTGGTATCCTAACAGCTCCTAGTCTAATTTGTTTTATGTCATGATGAAGTGAGATATAAAAGTTATTTATAAAATGTAAGTTGCTATAGAGATGCTAGGAATGATATTTTTATTCTTACATAAATAAAGACTTCTATCTATGCAAAGGACCATTTCGTACATAGGGAAGAAATACCTGAGTCATATTTGTGGACAAATTCCCTAGGAATACATTTTCAGTTTCAGGGATCTTACCTTAATCCTCTGATTGTTTAATCAAGATCCTTTCCACAAATATGTACATGAGTGGGAGGATCTATGTAGGCTGTGCAGTAAGGTATTTAGACCATACTGGGATTTAGATCTTTCTGAATAAGTTAACAAAAAAGAAATAATGTATTTTTGCTTCATGTGTCTGTCTCTGCAACTGGCCTCTATCAGTACTTAAGTTACACAGATATTAGTGCTGATGACTTCATTTTTCCAAAAAGGGAAACTAGAAGAAGCCACTTGTCATTTAAGGCCATTTTGGGTCCATTTTGCACATTTGTTGAAAGGCAGCGTTGTCTGTCATTTCTATTTCTCTGGAACTCTCTGAGTTTTCCTGGGAATCAAGGCAAGTTCTGTGCACCCCTGACAGTGAAAGCAGAGAGGGCAGCCCAAGGGCAATGAGACTTTCTGTGTTTCCTCCCCATGTTTGCTCACTGCCACACTCTCTGTTACCAATGAGAGAAGCCATTCTTCATCGTCAGGCTGCTGGGAGGTGTGAGGCAGCTGCTGTGTTTGCGTGAGAAGGACAGTTTTCCTTGGGCTTGAGGTTTATAGGTTGGATACTATGGCAACATTCTGGGTAAAAGATATGATCAGTATGCAAATCCTCATCACCATCATTATTGGACACATTTCAACACATTAAAGGAGTATTTTGTAATTATTCTGAACATATTGATGTTTACTACATTTTCTTATCTCAATTTTGAGTTAAGCAGACCAATTTTAATGTAAAAGCTGCTTGTGTTGAACAATTTAGGGATAGATAATGAACTCTTACTACATTTAAGTCATGTTAAAACATTTTCCCTATCTTTATACCATTTGGAAACGGAAAAACTGAACAGTCTGTAAGCGTGAAAGACAAATAGTTTGTGTTTTTGTGTTGCTGTATAGTCTCTTCTCTCATTACAATGTGCTGTGTATTTTAATTTTTTGCCTAAAGAATATTTTATAAGTAGTGCCTTACTAATTACACAAATTCAAGTAGACTTAACAAAGTACAGATGAGAACTAGGGCTGCCTGAACTATAACTAGAAGATTAGTTTCTGTTCAGTGAGATCAACAGGAATGTAAATCTAAAGAACAGAAATGTGAGATTGTCTTTGCCCGAAGGTTCAACTCAGACTCCTTTCCAGTGAAACCTTGGCCTCAGTAGTTTTCTATCTATAGAGTGCAGGGTTGGATAAAACCTCTATGCCCTTCCAACTGTGGGAGTCATGGTTTTCAAGGTTGTGTCTCTTTTGTACATGTGTATAAACCATTCTCACATTTATGAAGAGATTGTGTTTCAAACTGTGTAGTGCTCTCATCCTCTTCTGAACCCAAAGCACCCTATTCACCCCACTCATTGGTCAATTAATCACATGTCATAGTAAACATTTGTTTTCGTTTCACATTTACTGTGACTTAATTCTTATATTGTTAAACATTTCCTGTTTGTGTATATCGCGTGTGTGTGTCCCCATATAAATGCAAAAGCTGGCTATGTCTCCCTCATCTATCTCTGAATATCTTAGCAAGGGTCTGGTATAAGGTAGGTAAGGATATGTCGATCTGATTCGATATCAGACAGAGAAGAGGAAGCTCCATGACAACTGCCTACCTGTAAGCATGCCTTCATTCACCACGCAGCTTCCATCAATCAAAACAGCATCACATGGCAATGAAAATTTTCCTGGAAGAATAAGAATGTCTCCGGGAACCAAGAGACGGGATTCCAGCTCCTCCAAACCTACACCAAAGCAAAGTCTCCATGAATAGCTGACCTTTTCCTGTTTTTACTTAAGAATGAAGGCAACTAAGAATCCTTATCGACCTGTTGGCCAAGAGCTACCCTACCTGTTCAACTGTTGAAGCCCCTTTTTAGTCAATTGAAAATTCCAAAAGAATCAGGATTAGGAAATTGGTTCCTGGGACTCAGAAAAGGATTAGCTAAGCAACAAGATCCCATCTTGATCCTAGTACCTGGTGTGCTTTGCCCACAGCAGATACACAAGGACACTGGGCAAAGCAGAAGTGCAACTTCCTGCTGTTTGCTCTCATCTGGGTTTCTGATTCCTGCGGTACACTTGGTCTTCTTGGATTGAGGCCTTACGTAAATTGCCCAAATAACTTCTGCTGTCCCAGGGTGCAGCTCCTCGCTCCTTACAAAAAGCCACAGCCACGCCACCTCTGGCTAGCTCACAGCAGATGCCAACTGCCCAGACAGCTATCTAAAAGCCCCATTCAGGCCTAGGTTCCAGATGGCAGTTCAAATTGTGTGATGCAGGGTCTGTTTGGGATAGTTAGATTGGGAAATAAAGGAACCTTAAGAAGGTTTACCCAGTGTTATTCAAATGAGTGACATATGAAGGGGAGAGGGAAATTGAAGGAACCCAGACATTGGGTAAGAATGACTGAATAAAGACTTGGGTGAGGATAAGGCAAGCAAGATGTCTAGTGTACAAAATTTAATGAGGCACTTGTTCTCAGGGCCCTGCAGCTGCGGGGTCAGCACTGGCATGATCTTGCCTCGTTAAATTTTCTATCTTAGAGGCCTTCTTTGCCTTACCCTCATCCCAGTTCTGGGTTCAGTCAGAAAAGACTTTTTCTCCTTGGCTAATAATTAAGGACAAATGAGACCAATTCCCCCGTGAAATATTAAGATGCTGAAGATGGCCTAACGCGTCACTTACCTCTGTCTTTTACAATGATTGTAACCTGGACTTTGTTGTGGTCCTCCACGAGGTTATGCAGCTTAACTGATTGCTACCAAGTAAAAGTTAACATTTAAATATTAGATAGTTCATATTCTGAAAACCACATGTTCTCAACACAGTAAATACCAGGCCAGCTGTCACAGCTAAAGTGACTCTGGGCAAAGGACTCAACTTCTTTTGATGCTTCAGCTTCCCTGCTCCAACCCCTACCTCATCTGACCTGCTACGTGCAGCAGCAAATATGATCATTAGTTTAATGCTATCTCACTCCTCCAAAAAAATAATGCACAGCCACTGCCTCAAGGACCTAAGCCAAGGAACCTGTTAAAATAAACTTCACGCAAATTAAATTTAACAGGAGTTTAATTGAGGAAGAAAAGAAAAAGTAATTCATAAATCAGGCAGCTGCCAGAACCACAGCAGATTCAGAGAGACTCCAGGGATGCCTGATGGTCAGAATAAATTTGTAGAACAAAGAAGGGAAATAACTACGGAAATCAGAAGTGAGGTACAGAAACAACTGGACTGGTTACAGGTTGGCGTTTGCCTCATTTGAACAGTTTGAGCCCTCAGCAGTGTATGAGTGGTGGAAGTATGGCTGCTGTAGGAGTCGCTGAAGATTGGCCAAGACTCAGGTATTGTCACAGACGCATACTCCTAAGTCAGGTTTTCAATCTTGTCTAACTATTAAGTTAGGTTAAGGTTGGCCCACAAGGAGTCAAATATAGAAGTACGGAGTCCTTCTCAGGCCATATTTAGTTCGCTTTAACAAACCAAAGCTATATTTCTTGAAGATGCACAATCAGAATGATGAAGAATGAGACTGTGAGCAGGTTACTTCCCTCTCTATGCCTCTGTCTCCCTGTCTGTAAAACAACAGAGCTAAATGTTCTCTGTAAGTGGCTTTCTGCTTGAAAGTGTCTGTGAATGTGTAGGTTGTGTTTTGATTGCATGTGGGACAGCCACCCTCTCCTTTATGAACTGTGGATTTTCATATTGGTTAAGTCAGCAGATGGCAGTTATGCTGTTCAGTTGTGAATCTTGTGCTATTGCTTATGAGTTATTTAGCCTGTTTAACTCCTTTTTGCTCATCAGAAAGGGGAGATTATAACAGACTATAACAGGGTTAAGTTTGAAGTGATTTTACTCTTATAGAGCCCTCTGTGTAGTACTCAATACTATGCTAAGAGCTCATGAATGTTAGTGATTCATAAGAAACTTGTTGGAAAAACAGTTGTGAGAGCACGTTAACTGGAAAGACTTGCTTGAGATAGTTTATTGAGTTAGGACTCTGTGAAAAGTGGAGAAAATGGAAGGAGCCTGGAGAAGTGGAGAAAGCATCTTATAGGATAACACAGGGGACAGAAAGGCAGAGGTGAGAGATGATTTCATCCATACAGTTCCCCAGACTGACTGCTGGGGCAACATCAAAGAGAGAAAGTTCCATGCTGGGCCAGCCCTGGAAGGTACTGCCTCTTCCTGTTTGAATGTCGGTGGCTTGGATGCCTCGAACTAGACGCGAGTTTGAATACTGTCAGCAATTCTTAATTCACTTTAGCCTAATTCACATATAAAACTTTTTTTCTTTTAGCTGTTACATTGTTTTGATCTGTTCTGTTGGTGATATTTACTGTTATAAATGTCACTAGGCTAAGACAAGCATTACACGTAATTATACGACTTTCCCCTTGAGAAAACATAATGAACCCAGTGTTAATATTTATATGGAAAAATTTATGATATACTTCAGTTTTGCATGAAAAGTTAAACTTTGGTAATTTGGACCGATTGAGTGGAGGAAGCGATAGTACTGTTTGGTGCACATTCATTGCTCTAAGGTGACTTCCTGAGGCTTAACAGTTGGGGCATGCATTTTAATGATGCGTAATAGTGGGGAAGTCAGCTGTGGTTCTGTGGGCAAAGAACACTGGGGTCAGTCAGGATTTCTGAGTTATAGGTCAGGCATACCCCCTAACCAGTCAGGTAATGTGCGTATATAAGAAATGGTGCCTTAGAATTTAGTCTCTTTCTCTGTAAGCAGACAATATTGAATTGGATCACTTTCAAGTTATACCTTCAAGCTCTAAAATGATATGACATTGATTTATTTTGCATGTCAGAGATTTATTTAAAACCTGCAAGGCAACATAGAAGAAATATACATGGTATATAAAATGGCTCAAATCTTTATTATTTTTAAATAGTTTAAAACATTAAGCAGTTATTATGTGCCAGGCATTGTTGCAGGCACTTGAACGACAGTATTTTTTTAATTCTCAAAATAATTCTGTGATGAAAATGTTATCTCCAACATACATGTAAAAACCAAAAAAACGGGGTAGAAAATATTAAAGTAATTTTCTCACCATCATTTACTTACTAAGTAAATCAAACCTAGGTTCATCTGACTCTAAAGCCTTTTCTGTTGATGAATATGTTCTTCTAGTGCTTAAAAACAGCATTTTTTCCTTTAAGAAGATGAAAATCCTTCTTCTAGATTTCTTTAATTTTTTTTTTTTTTTTTTTGCTTTACAAACTCATTTAGATAATGTCATGATAAATTCAGCTTAGTATGAGAGGATGATAATCAACACATTTGGAAGTAGTGAAGTATGAGTTAATAATACTTGACTATAATTCCCAAAACTCATTATGCTGTAGAGCTGGGCTGGTTTATTAGACTTAGCATTCTCTGTAACCTGTCACGCTTCCATGCCTCTGCTCAAGCTAGTCCCTAGAATGTCCACTCCAGTTCTCTACTAACAAACTTTCTAATCCTTCACATAAAGGCCTACTCAAATGTCACCTCCACTCCGCAAGTCCCTACAATCCTCAGGAAGAATTCATTGTTCTGCTCTCTCCACCTGTGTGAGTGTACTGATCACATTCCATTACAGCTAACCGCTGTCTTGTCAGGCCTCCCTCGTGAGTCGGGCGGTAGAGAGAAGAAAGGCACCGTGTATATTATGCATCTGTGGATTCCTCTAGAGCCTATCACATAGTAGGTCCTTATCAAATATGTATTTATTAGAACCAAATTATTCTACTTCTCCCAACAACACTGGAGTGGAATAATGTTAGCCTCCTCTTTGAGTTAATGTACTCGGAAAATCTACAAACACGGGTTTCTATGGCAACCAAGTAGCTAGGAGAAGGCAAACGCTGCAGTGCTTGCCATGACTGCAAAGCTTGTTGCCTGATTTTCATTAGGCCCCCTTTAGTTTCTTCTGTCCCTGTTCAGCAGTACCAGGATCAGTTTCCAAGATGAATTTGCATATTGTTATTATTCAGCATCTGTTGCTGTGTGTCCTTGTGTTTGCTGTGGCTGGATTTCCTCTAGAGATGAGTAATGAGGGTATTAACTCAGGTGCCTCTTGAGCTTGGCTCTGTCATAACTGAAGGCAAAGAAAGCACTGTGGGCCAGATACTCCCAGTGCTATTTCTAGCAGCCACCCGTGGAGCTCAGCAATACAGTATGCACAGACAGTTCAATGTAAATACAGTTGAGTACCAAGGTTTGCACTCATGCCTGCACCAAACTTGTTAGAAAGGGACTGAAGCAGGAGGGTTTCTTGGCTTAAGAAAGGTAATTCTTTGTGTAGCATAATTTGGGGCCACGATGGATGCAGAAAAACATCTTATTCTACTCCTGCAAACACTTGCTCTCTTACAATTTTCCAAAGCCAGTGTTCGTTTACCTAAGTCTTTAATTCAGTGAAATAATGAACTTCAGTGTAGCTCAATAGAATGATATGGATATAGCAATAGATGCTCCTTCTTTCAATCCTGCCAAAGCCCTTCCCCAAATCCTACTGCTGCAAGGAAATTCATGAGTCACTTTGAGGTTGTGCTCAATGGGACAGTGTGTAGTACTTGACTTGGAATCAGAAAACCTGGGGCTAAGGCCTATGGCCACCGTTACTGGGTGAGTGTGAACAAGTCCCTTCACCTCCTGGATTATCCCTGTCCCTCCCTTTCAGGTAGCAGGAGGCTATAAAAATCGTGTGTGTTTTATTTCCTAATTTGCCATGTCCCATACAAATACATACATTATGAATATGGGTGCCTACTGTAAACTGTAAAGTGCTAAACAGATGTTGATGAATGAGGACTTGTGATTTAAATTGCAAATATACAGTTTCAGGAAACTGGCTCATTTTGTGGAGTGTTACAAGGTGCTTTACAGGTTGGGTTAGGTATCCCTTTATTAATAAATACTGGCTGCTAATGAGATTAGTGTTTGTCCTCTAATTCCTTTTCTGTTTTTTAAAGAAATCCTTTGCAATACTGCCACCAAGTCTAAAGTTCCCGTATTAGCCACTGTTTTGAACAAAGGAATGTAGAGATTTTGTTAAGATGCGGAACCTGAAAGTTTAAATTCCAGGAAGGATTTTTAAATAAGCAAATTACAAGTATTAGAAAACAGGTATTACCTAACTTTGGAAGGGGAGATCTTATAAGCAAAACAATAAACCATAAAGGAAAAGAAATATATTTGACTCTACGTACATTTTCATCGATAGCTAAAGTCAAAGTCTAGAAAAATAGACTAAAAAGTAAAACTTTTTCACATATATGATGAATATAAAGAGGCCCTTAATATAAAATGAAAATGCAAAACACTATTAGACAAAAAAAGTGTCTAGTCTCACCAGCAATCAGGAAAATGTACATTAAAACATCAATGAGACCTAGTTTTTAAATACGTTAAATTTAAAAAAATTTAAATATCAATATAACTCCAGAAACTGATGAATCCGGGGGAAATAAATACTCTTGTATGTTTCTGATTTTAAAAAAGTCTTTCATTTGTGGAAAATAATATAGCAGCATCTATTAAAATTCAAAATATACATATGCCTTGATTCAGAAACCTGGCTTTTGGTTGCTATGCTAAAAAAATGCAAACACTAATATGTAAGAACATGCCCATACTGTAGTAGTAACTTTTAATTCAACATTATTTGTGGTGGCAACAGATTGAGGGGAAATTACTTTCAACAAGTAACAGAACAGTGAAATAAATTATGATTATCATGAAATAGTATAGTATTATTTTAAAAACATGAATTATAATTATTTATTTACTTGGTGAATTGCCATTATATATAAAGTGAAAATGAAAGTTCCAGATTAATATGCATAGTAAGATCCTATTTTAATTTTAAAAATTAATAAAGACATAAATCTCCTTATAAGCTGGTATATATATGTATGTGCACTTCATAGAGTAAAATGAGTGAAAAATATGATGATGGCATTAATAAATACATATATCTGGAATCTTGGTGTTTGAATTTATCCTTCAGTGGGTTCCCTTATAATAATCATTGTTAAGCTTTTAGAATGCATAACAATCATCAGTTATAAAACTTTTAGAAATGAAGATTCCAACCCTGGATATTTTGATTTAATAAGTCAGAAGCTCAAAAATGTCAGGGAATTCTCTTACTGAAACACTGTCTTATTGAGTATAGAATCAAACCTAATTTTTTCTACAACCCATCCCCTAACTCCCACACAGGAATTTCTGTATTTCTTTTGGATTTCCTTAAAGATATATTCAAATATCAAATGAAGACATGGGCATTTATAAAGGACTTCTAAGAGGGAGACTAAAATTTTTCAAAGACAATTAAATAGGAAACCTATAGAACAAATACAATATTTAAGTCCGGGGAACTATATGGAAATGTTCTAAGGGGCATAATATCTTGATTAATGCACACAGTTGAGATGCTACCCCTTCATTCTCCTAAAACTATGACTGGCATCTTTCATCCATCACAGCATTCTTTCCCACCATACTCAAATACAGCCTTAGAGTCCTTCTAAACAAAGCATTCAATGAAGGCTTCAGATGATAATCAGAGTTTGCTAAGACATTTAATTCTCCCTGGTAGTCCCAAAGTCCTCCTTCTGTGATCCCACATTTGGTAAACCCTCACTTTTTGTTTCATGACTTATGGTTGACAAAGCACTGCTGGCTCTCAGTAGAAACACCACGGGCTTTACTTCTTTAGCTAGAAGCTAAATAGAATCCAGCTGTGATTTCAGGGCTTACCTGTCGCAAATCATACACGCTTAAGACAATGGAGATAACTGTCAAAATGATGATGGCCACAGAGTATTCCATGTAACCTTGAGACAGCCACAAAGTTAGGGTGAAGGCTTGGAACACATAGAATGGATTTAAAACCTGTGGGTACAAAAATGGCATTTGGGTCACTTGCATGAACCTTAGTAGTAATCAAGAAGATGTCATTTCATTATCTAATTTTTTCTCATTTTTTTACAACATGCACGAACCTCTAATATTTAAGAATTCACTTAGATCTCTATTGATTTGGGTTGAGAAAATGTCAGACACATAGAATGTGATATGGTGGAAGCAAAATTATTTTGTGCATTCAGAGCCATTCCCACAAATTGATCATTCTTACTCATTTTGAATTTCAAAAATATTTTACCAATAACAAAATTTAACAATTCACCTTCTTAAACAGATTTACTCATAATGGCAGAGGTACGTGATTCAGTCTCTTTTAAAAATGTACTTCCATTTGGAACAGTTTAAGTGCAGTTTTATTTTTCATATAATCACATGCTGCAGATTTAGTCAAGTTGTGTAATGAAAATGAAAGATTCTACTTTTCTTTTCAGGTCATCGAGACGGGCGGATCACGAGGTCGGGAGATCGAGACCATCCTGGCTAACACGGTGAAACCCCGTCTCTACTAAAAAAAATACAAAAAACTAGCCGGGCGAGGTGGCGGCGCCTGTAGTCCCAGCTACTCGGGAGGCTGAGGCAGGAGAATGGCGGGAACCCGGGAGGCGGAGCTTGCAGTGAGCTGAGATCCGGCCACTGCACTCCAGCCTGGGCGACAGAGCGAGACTCCGTCTCAAAAAAAAAAAAAAAAAAATAGCATCTTTCATGTCACAGGTCTTAGCAAGGTCACCTGAGTCAGTCAAGCCCTTCTCTTGGACAAGGAGGAAGGCTGGAGAGAAATGTCTTCCCCAAGGCTGCAGGACAAATCATGAGCAGAAAGTATTACCAGCCCGAAAGCTGGTCGGTCATACATGTATATTTTTGGTCTCGTGAGAATACCTTCAACGTTTCTTGTTCCCTCAATTTTTCCCATTTGGGTCCTGCTAACTCATGCTAATAATGAGAGCAGAGAGGGCAAACCTGAGAAGCCAGAGAAAAGTCACAGGATATACATGCAGAAAGTGGATTAAAGAGCCCGTCAGAGCAAAGCAAGGATTATTTTTCTGAGAAACTGTTATTTCTAATCATTATGAATTGGATGAAATATTGGTTAAAACCAGCGCTAATCTCCCTTACCTCTGTTTTCTATAATTTCCTTACGTACTAAATACAATTCTAATTTAGTCTTAAAAGTGAACTGACACATGGTAAATAAGTGAGTACCTTGTATCTTAAGGGTTGGATATATTTTGTCCATTAAAAAATATTTTGTTCCTTAATATTTATTATTTCAATCCCCACTGCTTTACTTACAAATTACAGCTTTGTTTGCTTATTATAAAATGCTTTAATTGTAGGTTACATACAAATGATAATATGACCTTGAAGTTAAACAAATCCAGTAGAAAACTGGTGAAATACTTGTTACAGAAGAAACAACAGTATCCTAATTAATTTGGTTGTCTATTTAATATTCTTTTGAAACCAAAAGTAAAGAAATAGTTGTACTTGCTTTTTTTTTCTTTCTACTAAAGGGCTAGTAAATAGGTGCCAGAAAATACTAGCACTCCTTTCAAAATAGAACACATTGACCCCTGGAGAATATTTGGCAATTTGAAAATGTACTTGAAGTTTAAAAAGCTGCCTCCTTTCTGATAGTTAGGGAAGCTATGCATATGTCGAGGCAGGATGTATATGGGAAATCTTTGTATGTTCCACCAAATTTTGCTGTGAACTGAAAACTTGTCTAAAAAATAAAGTTAAAAAAAAGCAACCTGTTTTCTGCTCCAGACACAGAATAATGGTAAATAATTTTTTAATCTTAAAAAGATATGTCCATGCTCCAAAACAAAATGGCCATCTTCATGGGTTAGAAATAGACTGGAAACATGCAGCATTGAGTGGGGACTCACATCATCAGATTCATGGGTTCCAAAGACTAGACAGCAAAATCTAGGAGCTCCTTTCTCAGAGAATAGAGACAGAACGTGTTCCTCAGGTGGCAGAGGATAGAAATGAGGCTTACGGTGGAAAACAAGGGTAGCCACGGGCTTCCTGTTCCAGAATAGAGGTTGAGCAAAGTCATAACCAATGAGGGCTTTCCACCCAAGGGTAGAATGAGAGAGAAGAGAACCCATGGTACAACTGTGAACTGGGCCAAGCCTCAAGCTGGCTAAGGACATGCATGTGACAAATCCCTGAAAGACAAGTGCCCAAACCTTCAGGGACCACATAGGGGCCAACTGGAGGCAAACAAAGCCATCAAAGAAGCACAGAAAGCACAGAGAGAAAGAGAAAAATTGATGGGGAAAGTCCCACTTAAAGTAAGCGTTAAAAAAAAAATCCAAGCACACAAGGAAAATATTGCTAAAAATAAAAACAAAAATAAAACACTAACAAAGGGAGAACTTACTCTCAAGAAAATGAAAATAATAAAGCCATTTGAAAAAGACCAAAAGAATATATTTCAAATCTTCAAAAATTATAGAAATAATAACATTGCCTCATGCTGTGGACTGAATATTTGTGTCCCCCCTAAATTCATAGGTTGAAGCCCTAACCTCCAATGTGATGGTATTGGGAGGTGGGTCCCTTGGGAGGTAATTAGGTTTAGATGAGGTCATGAAGGTAGAGGTTCCACGATGGAATTAGTGTCCTGGTAAGAAGAGGAAGAGACCAGAGCTCTCTCTCCACCATGTGAAGACACAAAGAATGCAATACTCTGCAGGCCCAGGAACGGGTCCTCACCAGGAACCGAATATGCAGGCACCTTGATCTTGGACTTCCCAGCCTCTAAAACTGTGGGAAAGTAAATGTTTGTTGTTTAAACCACCCAGTGCATGACATTTTGTTATAGCAACCCAGTGGACTAACCACGCCCCCTACCACCACCACCACCACCACCATCATCCAAACTTAAGAGAGCAAAACAAAACAAACAGGAGATTATGAAGCAGGAATCTGTCTCACACTGGAAAGGAATTTTAAAGTACACCTGAGTTTAAAATAAGCAGTAGCAAAAAGAAGTTGCATGAAACAAGATATCATTCACATCAAAGTATTTACGTGTTCCTTCTAGGAAGTAAGAAGTAAGGGGCAGAAATTTATTTTCTCAAAAAAAAAAAAAAAGAAAGAAAAAAGAAAACAGTTACCTGTTTAACAAGCAGCTTCCATATGGGTTGGATTTCAACCTCAATGGTGTTAGGCCCACACACTAATCTTCTGTAGGAGATTGATCATCCATTAGTGTCAGAGCTACAAGTTCAGTGATAAGTGACTACAAGCCAAACTAAACAGAAGTCATTTCTCTACTCTTTGGAGATTTTGTGACTTTGATTTAAAAAATAACATGCAAGTTCTTTTGAAACCTAATTCTAAACTACTATTTTTGAAATGAAAGTCAGTGCATGATGGACAGAGTTGTAGTCCTCGATACAAATATATCTTAAGTGTAGTACAACTCAAAACAAAAACTTGGAAAGACACTTTCATTTTGAGTTACTTTTAAAATAATTTTATTATATACTAAAAGCAGTGAAAAAGACACAGCTATGCAGATGTTCCTAGACTTGTCAGGTGTTCTAGATTGCCCTTGATGTTAGAAGTCATATCTATCTTACTTTGGTACCTCCAGCACCTAGGACAGGCCCTTAGTGTATGAACTGAATGAATACATAAATGAATGAGCAAATGAACTGGAAGATACAGCGTTCATGGCTAACACTTGGTAAATGTGTACATTATACACAAGATGTAATACACATGTGCATTACAACAGGAATGCATATTTCTATACTATTTTACCATTAACAAAGTTTTTACAAAAGATTCATTTGATCCTCACAATAGTCCAAAGGGCTAATATCCCTATTTTGCCAATGGAAAAAATTACTCAGTGTGGCATGTAGCCAAAAGTGCACACATCTAGTATTAATCACGACAATGTAACTTTTTTTTTTTTTTTTTTTTTAGAAAGGGTCCCCCTCTCTCCGTCAGGCTGGAGTGCAATGGCACGATCTCAGTTCAACGCAACCTCCGCCTCCCAGGTTCAAGCAATTCTCCTGCCTCAGCCTCATGAGTAGCTGGGATTACAGGCATGCGCCATCACACCCGGCTAATTTTGTATTTTTAGTACAGACAGGGTTTCTCCATGTTGGTCAGGCTTGTCTTGAACTCCCGACCTCAGGTGATCTACCGGCCTCAGCCTCCCAAAGTGCTGGGATTACAGGCATAAGCCACCACACCCAGCCTACAATGTAACTTTTAAACAGAGTTGACAGTGTCAGAAACTGCACTTAGCCTTTTATATGCATTAACTCCTCCAATCATCACATTATTCCCATGAGATTTCATATTAGCACCTATTGTAATAAAAACTCAAGTTCAGATAAAGCAAGAAACTTTTCCAGGATCACAAAGCCAGAAGGAGGTAGGCTTTGTAGCATGGTCTATGACTCTACTTCACAAATCTGCCTCGGAAAGGATCAATGGGGAGAATCTACCCGAGACATCTTCGGTCTCACTGAGGTATAACAGAGAGCTGAGCCCAAGTTTATCTAACTTCTTAGCCATATTTTTTCCAAGTACAATTGTAGTTTGCAAAGTACAGAGAGGACTCAAACCAAGGTCTTCTAACTCCATGCCATGAAAGCACTGAGGTTCAAGGATGTTGGGAATCAGAGAGGACAAACAGCCCGTCATGCTCTTTGACTTCTTAAGTCCCTATACCTCACACTGGAAAGAGCTCATAACTCAAACCATTTCAGTACTCAGGACTCTTTTACACGATCTGGGGTAATGATCTGGTGTTAAGCAAAGTGTCAGAACTTCGGACCCCAAAGTTGGTCCTCCCTTCCCTCTCTCTACTTTGAATGCCCTTCCCACATTCTTCAGCTCATAAATGTCTGCTCAGCCGCTGAGAGCCAGGTCTGACAATCAAGCCTAATGGTTGAGAAATGTGGGATCGGATAGACCTGGATTTGAATCCAGCTGAGACTTTCTGCTTGCTGTTCCCTCCCCCGGGAACTAATTCCCCCCACAACTTTGTATGGCTTACTCGCTCAGTCCCCGAATGAAACAAGGGTATTCCCTTGTGAATGAATTTCATTCTCTCTCTGTTCAAATAGCACCTCCTTACTGCGCTTTTTCTAACAATGCTGCTTCAAATAGCTACCCTGACTCTCAATTCAGATTCTCTTCATCTCCTCATCCCGCCATGCTTCATTCTAGTGCATATAATTACCTGAAATTACATGTTATAGTTTACATATTAATAAGTGTGCAAAAAAACCAGACTGTGTCCTCCACTATAATGTACGCTTCCAGAGGACATCGATATATTCCGAATGCCTAAAACAGAGCCTATTATATGTTGAATGAATGAATTGATGACCGAATGAGGGGTCAGCCTCACTCTTCTCGTCTGTAAAAGGGGTTTTATAAAACATACCTAATAAAACTGCTATCAAGCTGAATGTGTGGCACACACCTGTAGTCCCAGCTATTTGGGAGGCTGAGGCAGGAGAACTGCTTGACCTCAGGAGTTTGAGACCAGTCTGGGCAACAAAGGGAGACCCTAATTTAAAAAAAAATCCTGCCAGTAGCATATGAGAAAAATACATAAAGCATTTAGTTCTCAATAAATAGCAGCTATCTTTGAAGTCTTACTCCCTCTAGCACAATTAACTCTATTTTTCTCCTTCAACAACCTTTCTTTTCTTAGCAACAGCACCTACATCATTATAATGTATATTTACATGTATTTTTCCCTCAAGTTTCCTAGAGTCCCTTTAAAGGCAGAAACAGACTTTTCTTTTTTTTGAGACGGAATATTGCTCTGTCACCCAGGCTGGAGTGCATTGGCACAGTCTAGGCTCACTTCAAATTCTGCCTCCCAGTTTCAAGCGATTTTCCTTCCTCAGCCTCCTGAGTAGCTGAGGTTACAGGCCCACACCACCACATCTGGCTAACTTTTGTATTTTTAGTAGAGACGGGTTTTCACCATGTTGGCCAGGCTGGTTTCAAACCCCTGACCTCGTGATCCACCTGACTCGGTTTCCCAAAATGCTGGGATTACAGGCATGAGCCATCGTGCCCAGCCCAGAAACAGATTTTTAAATCCTGTCTAAAAATCTAACATCTAGGGGCACAGTGTCTGACCTAGAGGATATTCCCTAAATATTAGCATGAATAAATAAGGTTCAAGGCAGTACACAGGGTATGGAAAGCAGTTTAGAAAGCAATCCTAGCTTCTGATGCCCTTTGGCTCTCCAAGTTTGGCAATATTACCATTAAGAGAGAAGAGATCCCATGAGGATGGGGATCCAGCAGATCAATATTTGCCTGTA